CTACTGGGAAGACAATTAACTCTATCCCAGCTGAAACCAGGACAGTGTGCTTTTGCTTTTTTCTGTTTTTAACTAAGCTGCGGTTTGTAGTAGTTTATTTATGGTAAGACATAAAGGTCAGTGCTGAAAGCTCTAAGATCAGGTGTTCCTCTTGTGTGATGAAATCGTATTTGGAGCTAGATGAGTTACAAGATCCTTAACAGCATTATTTTCCTTGTGTCTCTTGGTGGAAAATGTTGGTGGTATAATAGAATAATGGAATGTGAATTTTTGTAGCCAGGCACAAATTTGTTTCTGCTGATATTACTGAGGCAGCTAGGGGAAGGGAAATTTACCTAGCTTCCTCTGAGCATCCCTTGACTCAGCATAGTCTCCTGTCCCTGCAGTTAGGCGGGCCATGTAGATGGGAGAGGGCATCCCTGAGAAAACCCATTGTGTTGCTCTGAGGCACACTCTGTTTTGAGTTTGGCACTGATTCAGCAGCTACTTTCCTTTTTTTGCTGGCTTAAAGGCTAGTTGTTGTAGATTATTTGACACTGAGGTGACAAGAGGCTAGCATTGCTTGAAGTTCATTCCCCCTTCTGGGGGAGGATGATGGAAGCTGTTGGTCTGTTTGAAATTTTCTTTAGTGTCTTGTGAACTGTTATCACTAAAGCCTAAGAGTGTCTTGTCACGTGTGTGTGTTTTGATCCCCCCTCATTACCTGATGAGGTACTTACTGTATGTTCTCCAGGATCTCCGCATATTTTTGTGTGTGGAGTAGAACAGGGAATAAGATTTAAATTTTGTTGATGAATGCTAAGCTTTCGGTTACTGTCTTTCTAGTTATTTAACCCTGGTTTCTTTAACAGGCTATATATGTGTTTTTATATGCATATATATTTGGGTTTTTTCCATTCTGAAATTGAATTTGGCTTAATGTGGTTTCTGACTAGTGTTGAACAAAGCACATGAATATGAAACATAATTTCTAGCTTTTGTTCATCATAATTGAAACTGTGAGTCATGGTCTGTCTTTTTTCAGTACGGAGCAGAGGATGCAGGAGGAGTAGGTCATGTCCCTCCTGGATGGAGTTTTTGGTATGCTTTGGTATGTGACCATTCTTTTTTTTGAATACTTAATTTCGGTTGCTTCATAGTCCAACTCGTGTTCTAACTTTGCTGGTCATGAAAGAGCAGGCAAAGAGCATCTAACAACTTAATGCAAATTTTCTTCCATTTTTTCCTCTATTACACATCAGACCCTTGGCTTTCACAAAGGCTACTCCTGGGGAAGACCCTGACTTGTAAAGCCAAAGCAGTGTGAGATAGCACTGAAATAAGTTTTGTTGTTTGAGAGCAGTTCTGAGAATTCTTGCAGTGTCCTTATGACAAATGCTTATAACCTATTTGGCAGATGCTTGTTGGCAGCTCGTTTTGATTATTTCAAGTAACCAATGTACATGTTGCTTTGTATAAATATGCACTTTTTCTTTTTCGCAGGAAAAAAATTCAAAGTACTACAACTATACTCTTTCAGTAAATGGCAAAGCACGAAGGCATGGTGAGAACTACAGTGTAGATTATCTGACAGATGTACTGGTAAGAAATTTTGCAACACCTGTGTTACAGAAGCTGCTTATGACCAGATAATGCCTCATGCTGGGGGCTTGGGGAAGGGTGGGGGTGATAATTTGTTCGGCTGTCTTAGTTCGTAAATACATGATTGTGCTGTCGTGATGGTGGGTGGGCATTAATCAGCAGAGCAAGATTCTGGGTATATTTAGAAATGAGAAGTTTGTGTGTATGAGCTGTGGAGAGGAAAGGGATTGCAACTGCCCGTTTGCTAGCCAGTAGCTCACTGAGAGGTTAATACTGGCTGCTACGGTGCATGAGGAACATAATGCAGGTAGGCAATAACTTAAATTACTTCACAGAAGGATGTGTTTCATTACAATACACAACTTCTGTAACAGATTAACTGGGCCAAGATTTCAGTGGGAAGTTAAATATAACTTTACACTGTGTTTTGTTTGTTAGATATTATGATGCATTAGTGTCTTGTAATCTCTAACTACATCAAACTGATAACTTGGAAATATCAAAGGCTAATCAGCCCTCCACATTGTGAGAGGGCAATATATGCACTGTGCAAAATGTGTAGCTGACCAGGGGAGTTTTTAGCCTCTTTGCCCTCTTAAGGTAAAGACAGGTAACAAAGATATCAAATACTTAAAGTTGGAAGAGTTACTTTAGCTCTCTTGAGGACCTGTTTAGCAAACAGTTTTAGCTTGGAGGTTTGGGGGGATGGGGAAGGGGAGTGTTCTCCCCACTCACCAAGCTGGAGTCTTACACTGTAACAGCATGTCAAGTTATGAGTTGGTAGCGCTGGGAGCTCACGTGTAGCACTCGGGAAAATTCTTCTCTGAGAAGTCTCCTCGTGCAGTCAGTCTGTACTCTGCCACTGAGACCCTAATGAGTTTCGTTCCAGTGGGTTCTTGAACATTGTCAGCTGCTTACTAGGAACAGATATGATTGATGTTTCTCAGGGTACTGAACAGCTGTCTGATTAAATTTAGATTTACACCATCTAAAGCTAGATTGGAATTGATAAGCCAGAAGTGAGACTATCCTATTACTGGCATTGTACCGGTCTTTGCTGATCCTTCAGTAGCTTGTAAGCACTTTGACCAACAGGTCACTGCTGCATAAACCTCTTATTTGCAGTGTGTTACCTATTGATACAGCAGTGTATTCTGATTTTCAGTGTGTTGCATTCTACCTTCTGCCTGTAGTTAACAAATATGTATTCAGCATTTCAGAGCTAGTGTTTGAGTTTCATTTGCTCGATGGGCAGTGCACAGGAGTAAATTGCTTATGCAGAGTTCCTGTGTTGCTTGATGTGATGCACAAACTTTCTTGTCCTGAGTAAGGACATCTGGGTACTTTTAAGTCTGGTATTAAGAATTGGAACACCTGGATCTGTCTGCTGCAGTCCTGACATGTTGCAGTTTAAGCTCCTAACAAAATCTAAGTTGACTAACTCTGTGAATTTGCCTACATCGTGCTGGTTTCTGAACCAGGTTTTTGAACTCCACACTGTTCTTATCCTCTCAACTCTGTTGTCATACAACTGAAGTCCAGCCCTACTTGCTTAAATGTATGAGTTAAGAGGAAGGAAGAGGAGGGAATTCCTGATGTATTCTTTCTTCTAGAGAAAGAAAAGGATATCCAAAATGGGGTATACTAATTGGGCAGGAAGGGAAAATATTGCGAGATTTGAATAGCGGAGCACTCATCTGTGAGTAATACCTTTGAAGCTTTAATTCAGAGGCTGACCAAGGGAAGGCCAAAATGGAACTCTCCATCTCCTCTACCTTGCTACTTGAAATTGTGTATAGGCTGAAATGAAAATGAAAGTGGAGTGAGTGAGTGAGTGGAGTTTGGCACTGTCCTTCACTAGAGCTTCTGGCTTTGCCAGCAGAAATGTGGCACCCCTTATAAACTAGGAGCTTGCTACAGAATGAGCATATGCTATAACCAGTGGGGCTGAAAAATATTTTCAGAGCTATTGCTATTTCTGAAGACAAGTGAGACTGCTAAATGACATCTGTCAGGCAGGAGAGATGGCATCTGACAGCCTCAGAAAGACTCAGACTGTGTTAAAGAAAGCTCCGATTTTACTTTATGAAAACTGAGTTTAGGTGGATTTTGTTGATATTTGGAATAGGCACAAACTTTTGGTGAGCTTACCAGGTCTAAACGCAAAGGTCTCAAGTAGATACCTGTTCAGAGATGTGGGACAAATGATTTGTTTAATGTGAATACTTGGGATTTTTTTTATCATGAGCTGCTGTTCTGGACACTTGTAGATGAACAAGCAATAGGTTTCTGAAATAGTTTAAATGTTCCCAGTACTACTGAGCTCTAAATAAGTTATGCATGTCTAGTTTGGATCTTTCAAATACTTGCTGTTTTCCTTTGGAGGTATGACTTTTCTTCTCCAATGAAACTGTTCACAGGCCAACATGTCATTGGACTTCTTGGAGTATAAATCTAATTTTGAACCTTTCTTTATGATGATCTCAACCCCAGCACCACACTCCCCTTGGACAGCTGCTCCACAGTATAAGAAGAGCTTTCAGAATGTCAGTGCACCAAGGAACAGCAATTTTAATATTCATGGAAAGGTAAGCTAACTAGCAAGAACTGACTAGCTTGTGAGAGCTGTAGGCAATGACCCCGACCTGCATGTTAAGTTTAAACAGTGAGAAGAATAGGCTAGTACCATGGCTAGTGGTTATTTAGTTATGTTAATCAGCCTTTCAGGGTAAAATATGTTTGTTGTGACTTTGAGATATTTGCATACCAATATCTTTTAAACAAAAAAATGTAGTGGCAAAAATGATAAGGCAGTACAATGGAATTATCATTGATAAATGGGAAAATGTTAATTCTGTGTCCAATTTCCAGACTGTTCTGAAGCTCTTAAAATGTTCTTTCCTTGCTCTCAGTATGTTCAGGAGAACACATAGGCAGTGTGTGACACAAAGGCTCGGGTGAAGAATGACGAGAGCCCTGTCTTCCTGAGCACATCTGCTCGTGTGGGTGGGTGGTCCATTCCTTAAGCTCATGGCCAAGCTGCCCCTAGGTGACGAGCATATCAGACTAACCAGAGGACTTTGTGGAATCATGAACCACAGGGCCCAGGGTCACTAAGGACTTTGAGAACTTGCCTTTCATTTGCTGAAATAACCTGTAACCAGAATTGCGGAGCCTAATGTTACAAACTCGCAGACATCCTTGTGACAGGGCGGTACCTTCCACTGCTGGTAAACTTGGCCAAATATGGTCTAGCTCAGGCTAATCTGCTGTGACTTACTTTGCCAATAAGTGAAAGTGAAAGTCACAAACAGTTAATCTGGTGAAATACTTGACTTAGAAAAGTCTTGTATTTTTGATTCAATTAGCTTAAAATACAGACCTCACTACTGTTCAGTGTTCAACTGATTCACTTCAAGATTTGCTCCTAATCTTAAGAGATAACGTCACCTAAATGCCTATCTGGAGCCCAGTGATACCGCTTCTAAGGTCACTGTGACTCATGTAGTACAGGGTGAAACTTGTCTTAGCTGAGGATTGTAGCTTGCAAAATGGCCATGTGCTTATCAGTGTGATATAAAAACATGAATGAAAGGGGAGGAAAGGGCTGCAGGCAGTAGCAAACGCTTTAGCCCAACCTGTTAAGTTTCAAATCAGGGAGTGGTAATCAAGCTGGGGCTTTTTTCCTCCATGAAAGGATCCCTAACTTCATCTCAGAGTCCATTACTGTAATAAATGAATGCTTTTAAAATAGTGAGCCAGAATAACTTGACCAGCAATGTCAGCAGCTAGCCAAAAAATACAGTGTGGGAGCTCCCTTATGTGGAGCAGAAGCAAAAGCTCTGCATGTGCCTATGTAACACGAAGCAAAATGACAGACTTACTTAATGTTTGGTAGTTAATATTTGTGGATATAGCAGTTTTGCTAGATTTCACAATAGGAACAGACTAGCATTACTCTTCTTTCCTAGACACAATAGCTACAATCATTAACAGTGTATGTTTCTTTAATTGGCAGTGTTGTAGTCTTGAAGCCTAACTCTTCTTTGAGCTTCACTTTTTTCTAGGGCAAGCACTGTTCCTGCAATAGCAATAAACGTGTACATAGGCTCAGACCCTCAAGTCATTGATGTTGTAATGCTTGCTAGACAGTCTTTCATTGTACAGTCTTGATTCCTAAATTAATGTTGCCTAGCTTCCTTATACAGTATGTGGGCAAGGGGTACTGGAAGGAGCCATCTAGGCAGAATCTCTGCATGAAAAGTAGGAGTTAAGCTGTTGTGAGACTCTGTCCAGTGATGCACGCTTCAACTTCTGCTTAGGATCCTCAGCTATGAGCTATATCAAATGATGGGTAGCTCTCTGGTTTCCCAAGCAGGACTATTGGTAGCCCAGATGAGTGGTTTATCTAACCTGTTCTGAGAGAGAAGCTGATACATGTTGGGTGTTTCTCTTGCATGCACTGTTTTTCCTTTAACCTGAGAGCACAGCTGGGTTCAGATTCTGCTGGCAAGACATGGTATGGTGTCTCAAGCTCTCCTAAAATTTCTTTGAGAATGGGACATAGGGAGGCAGCAGGATTGGTGGACAGCTTTATATGTAACCAGTGAAAGAGGCTTGACAGAGACTGACTGGGAAGCAGATTTGAGGACTCTGAGTCAGTGTGAAGTTTACTGAAATCCACAGAGGCATTTAGGTGCTGTGTGAAGTTTTTGAAACTTCAGAGAAAGGTAGGAAGAACAAAATCCTCCAGGAAGGAGGAGGATTCTGCTGCACGAGGTGACTTATCCACCTGAGTTAACCAGTGTGGTTGTGCCTTATGGAGGAGGGCCTCTCCTAAGCCCACCCCTTGTGAAAGGTGGCTGGTGCACAGGTGACGTTGCCAGCTCCTTTGTTCTCTGAAGAACTGCAGCTGAGCTGGGGATGGGGTTTGCGAAGTCTTTCCTTACTTTATCCTCTCTCAACCAACACACAAGTCCTAGATGTTTGGTCTTGATGATGCTGTGTTTTCTTGCTGAGATAGACTTAGTGTCTCTCCAGAGAATTGTTTTACAACTACTGTAGAAGAGAGATCTGAATACAACTGAATTAAAATAAACTGGACGTGGTATTCAGTCTCCATGCCCAAAATCTTCCCTTCAGTCGGCAAGAACAGAAAACAGGGGAACCGAATAATTGCAGGAGATACAAGTCACTTCACTATGAGTCCCTAAAGCCTGAGCCCATTCAAAGTCATTCGCTTGTGACAGGAGGCAACTTGCCTAATGAGAGGCTCTATGGAGAGGAGTGACCAAGTAAATACAGGCTCAAGCTCAGGGCAATGAGTGGGTCATCTCTGACGTACTAAATGAAAAAGTATAAAGCTGCACTGACGTGACTTTCTTCTCCCACTAATACTAAGCTTCAGGTTGCTCACAGCAGACCTTCCTATGTATTTGTACAGCAGCTGATCCACTTCAGGCTGGTGCTTCAGGATGTGGGAGTATCACTTTTTGCATGAGTTAGATCACCTCTGTTACTTCGGAAGGATGGCTGAAGGGAGAGAGGGAGGGGCTGTTTCTGAAAGTGGGGATGCGGCTAGAAGAATCAATAACACTTCAGCTAAAGAAACACTCTTGTTCTAGAGTCAAAAAATCCCAATAAAACAGTGATGTTTCTGCTCCCCTCAGTAGTCTCCAGCCCTGAGTTTGTTTATAGGCTACCAAGAACCTGGTAGTGGCACCATTACAGATCTTTGTCGTTACCTGTCCATAAATTAGGTTGTCCTAATTGCTTTTGATGCAGGAGTTTCTTTCCACCTCTCTGCCTGTGTTAGGATGCTCACCAGTCTTAGTCCCAAAAGAACCTCACTTTGACAACCAAGACCAATCTTACAATACTGCTCCATCCTTCAGATTTTTTTCATCAGACCTGTCTCATGCTATCAGACTTTTATCTCTGGGAGAGCCTTCCCTAGCTCCTTTCACAAATTTCTTCCCTGAACTGCTTTGAAAAGATCCACAGCTATTTTCTTCTTGCCAAGGGCTGAGCATAATGGAACTGTAATATATTCTGCTTTTGCAACTTAGATTTTACGTGAACCAAGAGGGAAAACTGGAGTCAGGTTAATTTGATAGCATTGCCTGGCTATTTCACAGGAATCATGTGGATGTTTTACCCTAAACAATGTTTCTGTTTTAATTGGTCTAAGAAAGTTTTAAAAGCTGGTACTTTTCTCCTATGCTAATCTTTTGTCTTTTTTTTTTCTTTAGAACAAGCACTGGTTAATTCGACAAGCAAAGACTCCAATGACTAACTCTTCAATACAGTTTCTTGATGACGCTTATAGAAAGCGGTAAGAATATTTTCATTGCTTAAGATTTCTACTCAGAACTTTTATTATTTTTTAAAAAAAGAAAAGGTATATTTTTTAAAAGGGTTGTAATAAGTCTGACAGTAGATGTCAAGCTACCTGTAGTAGTTCTCTGGCATCTGTCTCAGCAGACCTGACTTTCTGTTTACTTTCTGCAAAGAAACTTGTCATTGACTTCAGAAATATTTTGCTCCCAAATGCTGCCATCATTTGTCATAAAAAAGACCGACCACGCTTGGTGTCTCTACTGCTTCTCTTTCTGTGCACAACAGGTTTTCATAAAAAGTGGCCTTACCTTCTACTTCACTTGAATTCCAGATTCTTACATGATGTACATCAAATGCAATTGCTTTATCTGCCAGCTAATCTGATTTATTAACCTTGATGCTCAGTCTGTGGTCTTTTTACATGGGAATACCTGACTGGCCAAGGCGGGTGCTTGATTTGTTTTTGTAAAAGGGGATGTGGGGAATAATGTGAAAGTACAGCTTGTTCCCTCTTTTTAATAGAAAGGAAGAGTATTTGCTTACGCTGTAGGTGTATTTTCTTTAAAAGCTCTGAAAAAAACAGTAGCTTAACTTTTAACTGGTAAACCCTGTTTTGAGCGGTGATCAGGCATTAGCTTGTCACTTTGGAGATGGAAAACCAAGGTTTTTTCAGGCTTTGGCTTTATAAAACATGAAGGTAAATTATGCAACAAAATCTTTCATTTAAGCCTGGAGATGACAGGATCCAGGAATTGAATAACTGTAGTTAATTCAGCATAATACTAGTCTGTGGAGGCTTGTTACTGACTTATCAGAAGCAGTCACTTGTCTCAACGGCAAACGCTGTGACAAAGGAAAGAATAACTGTTCAAGGCTTTAGATACACTGGAATAATGGACCCTGGTATTACATGAGTAATACAAAATAGCTGATGTAGTTTTCAAGCAGAAAGGATCCCACATAGACAATTAAATTCATGGCAGTCTTGTATTTTAGTATTAAAAAGTACATATGAAGAAATAATAGCAAGTGACCTTGCAGGAGATAACTCTGACTCTTTCCCACTGCATTGCTTCAAAGTTGGTCTTGACTGTCTCCAGATAAGAAGTAATCAGCATTTTGACGTCTTTCTCAGACACTACAGAATAAAATCAACAAGAACTGAAGACAAACAGTCTACTTCTATCTTAAATTGCAGCCTCAAAAAGTACAGTGTAGTAATCTATGAAGTTTGTTTTCAGAATTTGCAAGCAAAATAATTCACTTACAGTGCATACACTGTTGACTTGAAGCGGAATATGAATACCCTACCTGCAGTCAGAATTATTCTTAATTTTTCATACTCTAATATGAATTACTTTGTTTCTGTGCAGGTGGCAAACTCTGCTGTCAGTAGATGATCTGATAGAGAAACTAGTGAAGAAACTGGAACTGAATGGAGAATTGGACAACACGTACATCTTTTACACATCAGACAATGGCTACCACACTGGTAAAATTTTCACTGCTTCCTGGATTTTCTACAAATGTTCAGTAATCGCATAACTTTTCACCCTCATGACTGCTCCAGAAAATGGGAACAGCAACTGTGGAAAACTGTAGACATAAGAAGTACTGATTTGAGTTGCAAAACAACCTGGAGTTGCAGAGTGGGGTGTTTGGGGATTTTATTGTTTGGTTGGGTTTTGTTTGGTTGTGGTTTTTAGCATTAATCTCTACCGCTGTATACTGATACACGTAAAATCAGGACAGAAATGGAGAACAGTCTCTGTGTTCTGTAGGAAGAGCTGCCATGAAAGAGTTAACTAGTAAAATTCTGTCGAAGACCTGTCTATCATATTGTACAACTGAAAATTCAGTATCTAAGCTGTTAAACTTTGTAAGGTATGGCTTATACTTTGAAGTTGTCTGTTCCTATCCTGCACTTTGTTAATGTAGTTCAGGTTAAGGAACCCTTCTGACTTCTTTAAAAATTGGCTGCTGGAAATTAGGTAACACAAGACTCTTTAAAATGTAAAAGAAGAAACCATTTAACTTTTTGCCTTTTCTATTGTATAGGCCAGTTTTCTTTGCCCATAGACAAACGGCAGCTGTATGAGTTTGATATCAAAGTTCCATTGCTAGTTCGAGGACCAGGGATAAAACCAAATCAGACAAACAAGGTAAGAAGGAAGTGAAATCAAAGTATGGATTTACTTTTAATGTTGTCTCACAGTTATCAACTTTAGGTAATAATTTATCCTCCTGCATATATATGTATCAATGAAATGAAATATATGGAGTGGTAGAAAGTGCAAAAACCTCATTCTAAAAAGCTGTGTGCTCTTGCTTGCTTGAATCAGTAAATTTAAGTAATGGCAGGCTATAAAAGTAAATAAAGTCTGAAGCTCACTTTCCAAAGACCCTACTGTTGCTTTTGAATGTTGCAGTGTCCATTAGCCTATAGAGATGAAATTAAGTAGTGTTTAGGTGTACCTAAAATTACAAGTACTTAAAATACAGAAGTCCCATTATTACATGTTAGGTTCTGGTCTTCTGAAGTAAGTTTTCCTCACCCTGCAGATGCTTGTTGCAAATATTGACTTGGGTCCCACTATTCTGGATATCGCAGGGTATGACTTGAACAAGACCCAGATGGATGGGATGTCACTGTTGCCGCTGTTGGTAAGTAGACACACAGGGATAGTAACTGGTAGTTCTTGTAGGAGTTATGCTTCAAAGTGAATACTACTTCCTTCCATAGAGTAGGTCGACTCATAACCCAGATTTGTCCCTTGATGTCATTTTCACATGAGATGTTCATAGCTTAGTGAAAAAAGTAGGCATCTTGTTTAAATGCAGGTGTATTTTCATAAGCCCTACAACTTTGTGGTCGTTTTATAATGGAAAGTTATGTCATCCTTTGGCTAATCCTGCCATTTGTAATAATTCCTGTTTTGAAGGCTGTATGTTGTTTCCACCTTGTATCCTCCCTTCTCTTTTCCTTAGGATTTCTCAGCATAGACATAGGAGGAGAGCAGACTGTTCTTACTTAAATCTTTGGCTTGCCTCAATGTTCAGTAGAACTAGCATTTCCTTCTAAACTCTGGAAAAATACCTGTGGTTTTATAGAGTGAACCTGACCTTTCCAAAAAGTGAGCAGAAGCCTATTTAAATAAAGCTGCTTGCAGTTGATCCTTTTAGTTTTAATTAAATTCAGTCTATAAATTGAAGGCAGCTTACTTGGACGTAGGAGATCATCCAGATTTAAAACAGTACTTTGCTTTTAAAACCTTGTATCCAAACCTTAAGCTGTTCTTCAGACAGAAGGTAAAAGGCATCTAGTTTAAACTCTGGAATCAAAACTGTGAAACTCATTGTTTTGCTGTATATGCCTGTGATGGTGCTGTATATTAACTTTAAACTTGCCTCTCCCTCTGTCTTTTAAAATGCAGCTACAAATAGAGCAGCTTAAAACTTTGTTGCTTTTTAAAGCTGTTTATCTTTTCTTACACCAAGGGTATCTTTTTCCATCTGTTGCAGTAGTTTGATATAAACCAAAGAGAAACAGCCTTGTTACAGGGATCTTGTCTGTAATATGGTAGTATCTGGCCACGGGGCTCCTATTTGGTAGTATTGCATGATTCTTTACAAATTGAAGATAGTACTTTAAACCCTCACAAGAAGGTGTACTAATATTTTTGGAGTCGGATCCTTGTCTTCCAGTTACACAAGACATTCTAACCTAAGGCTAAATACTATTTTAAGACTGACTCAGACTAGGGACCACAACTCAAACGGCCTTGTAAGCAGTGGGCAGCGTTAGTGTTACACCAGGCATAGAGAGTTCCTTCTGTTTTGCAGTGCAGTGGATACTCAGTCATGTTAACCTCTTGTCCTAGACAGGAGACAAAAATGTGACATGGAGATCGGACTTCTTGGTGGAGTACCAAGGAGAAGGATACAATGGCAGTGATCCTACCTGTCCTGGCCTAGGACCTGGAGTCACAGTAAGCAAGACCAAGATCTGTTAATATTAGAAAACAGCTGCTGAATTAAACCTGTTTGCTGTATGGACTAGCCTGGTTCTGTAAGTAAGCTCCCAGTGTCTTGGTAAGCAGGAGCTAGCTCTTTATGTCTGTACAGCATTTAAGAATCAGAGAGAGACATCCAGCCACGCAGAACTGATGTGTCCATATGATTGTACAGAACACAGTCACCCTTTCAGCAGGAATCTGTAGGGCCTCAGGGCTGGAGAAATACACAGGAAGGTGTGGGCTTGTCAAAGCGGGTGGCAGAGACATCACGTTCTTTCTAAACTTCTAATGAACTCGTTGCACAATTCTTACCTGTGACTTATTTAAATCACTAGCTACTTCCTGAATCAAAGAAGGTTTGCTTTAAGTAAAGCATCCCATTGGTGGTGTCTTTAGTAGAGTGTGTTGTGCTGTTTTCTTCAGTGTATGTACACTAGCTTCCCAAAGTGCACTTAATCGTGGTGAGTTGCATAACACTTTCTCAAATTCAGACGAGCCAAGTTTTTGCTTAAAATCCCCAGTGGAGACTTGCGTGTGTTAGACCAAGATCCTGGTGTTCATCAGTTAACTGCAGTTGGCTTGAGGTGGTACAGTCTCTCTAGAAGAAGGATAGCTAGTTCATCCTTTTTTTCCTGCTCTGAGTTTTTGTTCACTGCTCACTTCACAGCACTGCTTCCCAGACTGTGTCTGTGAAGATTCCTATAACAACACATATGCTTGTGTAAGGACACTGTCAACTTCCTGGGATCTGCAGTACTGTGAATTTGATGACCGGGAGGTAAGTCTCTGTCTGACTAGCAGATGTCACAACCGTGTGAGTGACTGTCTGCACTCTTATCTGCTTTCAAGGTTTCCATAAAGTACTCTGAAAAGCAGACTAGCATTGCTCGCAGGATAAACAGTGAAGTATTTATCTGCTGGTGAGAATGTTTGACCAAAACTCTGGTGGTGTTCTGGGAAGAAAAAAAAACAAAAGGGGTGGGTGAGGAGTGAGGAAGGGACAATAGCGTGAACTATGATTATCACCTTCATTATTGCCCAACAGCCTCATGGGGAGCTGTGCTGGGGCTGGGCTCAGTTCTCTGTCCTACCCTAATTCCATGTGGCAGAGTCCTTCTGTATGACAAATGTTTTCTGTTATGCTGTACCTCTGCTGTTCTTATGTTCAGCTGCAAGTCTTTTCCTTGGGAAGAAGTGGAATCCCAGGCTAATTATTTCTCTTCTATGGCTCAATTGTTTGCCTGGCAAAAGAAGTATTTAAGTTATGATAAGGTTGAGACCTTTTTCACAGTTGTAAGTTGTTTGGGTATAAGGGACATAAAGTCCCCCCTTCAGAAACTGTTCAAATCTCATTAGCGGAGCACCTGCTGTATGCACAAAAAACCTGGTGTGTTACAGGGCTGATCTTCACTTGTGCCCCTTTGCACGCAGTTGCTCCAGACAGTGTGTTGGATTTGAGGCAACTGGGTCACAAATATAATAAACTGTTTTGTCAGCAGATGGGCAATAAATGCATAAACAGCAGGTATCCCCAGTTATCGTGCCACCACACAAAACATTTCCTGACACTCTACAGTGAACCAGTTAAACCAGGGGAGTAAATCCCTCAAGATGTTTTTTTTTGCAGTAAGATGGAAAGAAAGACTGTATAGGAGACCAAGATGCTGATTAGCAGACTCTGCCCTCCATTTTTTACTTTCTGACAATTTATGATGAAGTGAAATGAGTGTTGTAGCTTTCTTTGTGAAAGTAGACTCCGAAGTTGATCTGATAATATGCTTCATGTCACTCCCCCACCCCCCCCAGTAAGAAGGTATGGCTGTGGCATTTTTGGGTCACTCAGCTTACCTGGGTCAGCTAAATTAAGGCTAACAGTATTGGGAAGATGAAGCAATGTGGCTTTTAAGACCTTGCAGTGAATCTTACAAGAAAGCTTGCAACCAAAGTCTGTCTGGATACATCTTTATCTATGTTAGACACAACCCAGCCAGTTTCAATCAACATCATCTGCAATCAGGCCTCCTACTCTAGCACAGACAAAACCTCAGCTGAATTCTTGAGATATGTTTGACTCCTATTTGTCCCATGGAATGGTTTAGAGATTTAATGTACCAGAAAACAAATCTGCCCTAAAATCCTCCAGACTAACTTTCTCAAAGCATGCACGCACAGAAAAAGCTTTCTTGTATTGGGGTTATAGCATACTTGTATTCAGCAGATTTTGTACATGTAGTCAAGACACCTGTCTGAGATTGACAGCTGGAGGTACCTGATGAACATATAATGGTGCTATGATGCTCATGAAATTGTGTATTTTGAGATGCATTAATAAAAAGACAGCCAGCTTAACCGTGGCCTCTTGCTGTGGTCTTACAGTCCTAAGATGGGCTCTGTTTATCTGTTAGAAAAAAACCTGCTTGTAGCAGGTCTGCACTTTAGGTGGAAGTAAAAACTTTTCCAATAATACTGTACTATCACAAAACTTTAGCTTTACCTACATGCTGTCCTGTCTTTGACCACTTAGCCACGTGGCTAAATGTAGTGTCTGTGTGGGGATGCTGCAGTGTAGTTGAAAGTAACATTTGAGACTATATGCTGCCATAAAGTGTTCTTCACAAATAATCCCAGTAAATGTTAATCAGCATTTAGGACTTAATACAGTGCAGGAACTTTCTTCTACAGGTGTTTGTGGAAGTGTATAACTTGACTGCAGATCCACACCAGATCAATAACATTGCTAAAACAATTGATCAAGAAATTCTAGAAAAGATGAACTATCGATTAATGATGCTGCAGTCCTGTTCAGGAGCAACTTGCCGTACACCAGGTGTCTTCGATCCTGGGTAAACACTGAATCAATTAATTATTATAATACTTTTAAATGTTATTATGTATTTTTAAAATTAAGCTTTTATAGAGGGTATTTATGATGGAATGTGATATTACTGCCATACATACTGTTGTTTAATAGAGATGCTTTCTTGATGCTTCCATTTTTTCATGTTTAATCTCTATTTTAATTTAACCTACCAAATATAACTTGATGGTATTAATACTACTACTACAATCTTGTCAGTCACTGTTGACTTAGAATAGCTGAAGCTTACAGCTGTGCTGAGTAGTCGGAGACAAGGGACCTCAGCTTTGCCTGCAAATAAGGAAAAGCACTGCATGTTTCTGTAGGCGAGCATTTTCCAAAGACTTGCTCTGATTGTTCCTGGAGATGCTGTTAGCAAAGAACACTTCCTGCGGGACCTAAGCTGTACGGGTTAGTCAGCTGTTGTAAGCAAATAGGACTTCTTACCTCAAAATTCAGTTGGTAATCATTTGGACCGAAGCTTTTTTAACAGCTATTTAAAATGTCTTTACAGTTGTGCTACATAAGTTTGTAATTTGAGGCAGCAAAGCTTTCTGTTAGAATGCATCTCCTGAATGCTTAATGTTATACATGCCAGTATGCTGTTGGTATGTCATGGCTAGTATTTCTTTCTTTGTAGACTACCAACTCCTTAGTTGCATGTCGTTGTAATTAATCTGTTGCAATATGTTGAGATATTGTCCCTACTGCATCCTGTTAAGAAAGCAGCTATTCATGTAGCCTTGTACCAGAGCTGCTCTAGAAATAAGTTATTTCTAGAAGCGTTGGTCACTGTGGATTAATGGTAGCTCACACAGACTCTGTTGCTTTCTATAGGTACAGGTTTGACCCGAGGCTCATGTTCAGCAATCACGGTGTCCGGGCTCGGAGGTTTTCTGCACAGTCCTTGAAAGGCACTTAAGAGCCTCTTGCAGTATCTCCTTCTGACCAGTTTCTCCAGTGACTGCAGCAGGTCTGTCTCTAACTCTTGTGGATCACAGCTGGAAGACTTTTAATGGGCTATTCCAACCCTGTTTGGAAGAAAAACCCTTGTCTTTAGCTGGTTGCCTTGTGCAATATGTATATTTTTACAGCTGAACTGTAACTCTAAATCGTTAGACACAGCTAATCTGTCTTGCTCAGAGAGTTGATTACCACCTTTGTCTTTCAAGTACCTTTTCCTATCACAGGCACAGAGGTGAATCTATGCCTATGAATCTGAACAGTTTATTTTGTTCTAAAAATCAATAAATGCATATTTGAGTCAGGTTAGATAGGCAGGTGCTATTGCACAGTAATGCTCACCCATATTCAGTGTCACAGACTTTCTTAAAAGCTACAGTTAATTATAGGTTTCCTGTATCAAGCTCAAAGCTGTTAATGGCAATAGCAAACCAGCCCAAAACAGTGTAGGAAGGCATTAGTCAAAACTGTAGGATCTGACTAGCAAGTGTCTTATGCAGAATTAAAATCCATACGCTAAATACTCTCTTTCAATGAGACCACTTCAGATGAAACCAATGAATTTTGTAGGACAGCTTTGGTAGCTTGCAGACAAGAATGTAATTTCAACCTCCTTCTAGTTTGAAATGCTAGAATGGGTTACTATGTACTACTGAAAAAATTCTTAGGGCTTAATATAGGCTTCCTAGTGAGTTAAACGAAAGAGTGTTGAGACTAACAAGTATTCAAATAAGCGTGCCTGTGTTTTCAGCTAACTATTAAGACTGTTTTAACATGTGAACAGAAGTAATACTAAGGAAAAAAAATCCACAAAAAAACCAAACCAGGGCACCATGGTAGAGTTGATCTGTCTCTAACCTCCAAATGTCTTGAATTATCTAACATGTTGATTAGATTCTTGAAGGTAAATTATTTTGAAAGCAAACTAGCTAAAAATAAATAAATCATTGCTTGCTAAAGTTAGGCTAAGAGGGCTATTTTAGGCAGTTTAAGTGCTTCATAGTGTTGCTTTTTGACTGAGACATAATTATTCAGAACCTGCAGTAAGTGGCCTTCGCACCAAAGGACTGCATGTCAGAGGCCTGACTGCAGATGTTACCACTTGGTTCCCCTTTGGAAGGGTGATGTTGTCTTTTTAACCTGGTCTGAAATGCAGCTGTCACTTGCACCCAAACTTGAGTATCTTTCTAAATCTTGAAGAACACCCAAACTTGCATGAGCATGTAACTTCTACATATTCATTGGCAAAACACCTTCTAGAAGCACTGAATTGTGTCTCTTGCAAGACAAGTTCATGTTGCTTGTGTGCAAATCAGCTGTGTTATCCAGGTGAGATAATCGTTCCCTTGTCAAACAAACTGTGGCACAACTGTTTAGTTTTCAGTTAGTTACTTCAGATCTTTTACCCAAATAGAGAGCATGATGATTTCAACTTCTGTCATGTAAAACCTTCTACTAAGTAATCATTGAGTAGGCGACAAAGTATGACCCTTTCAAAACTGTGAAGGTACATGCCCCAGGGCACAGATCCACAAACTGGATGCAGGCAATGCTACAGAAAGATAAGTTGAACTTCCTTGGCTTTTAATTCTGAAGCACAGAAGTTGTCCTTCATGTAGCTTAGAGTTGCAAACTTCTGTGGTGGTCTACAGGTTAGATTTTACAGAGCTTTTGTCTCAAATCTAACTCATTGTTTCAAATCTCTAGAGCGACCAAATATTTGGAGAAGAAAAATTGCTTGAAAGGTAACTAACTTCCACTGAAGCATCTGTATAAATGCAGAGGTTTTGGGATATTCAAACTACTTACTTTCAAATACTCAGGACTGTTTGGGGTTTTTTTTTCCGCTACAACTGTAGCTTTATCCTGGTTTTTGTTTCTCAAGCCTTAGTATTGCCCATCAATATCCTTCAGATTCTGTTTTGTCTTTAAAAACAAAACCAAAGTTGTTTTCATGCTCTCAAGCATTTTCTTGCACACTGAGCTAAACCTAGAGTTCATTTATCTAGTGTTTTGCTCAGATAATTCTAGCAACTTAGACTTGTTCTTTGTTTAAACTTCTTCTTGGTAGCTGTGTGGAGGCTAGAGTGAAATACATGGATTGCTGCACATCAAACCCTCAACAGTTCTATCAAATCTACATCATATGTCAAGTTTCTATTTAAGTTTCAGTGCAAGTAATGTGTGTTACATTGCTGCTTAATACAAAAAACTTTGTTATGGTACAGATGTCTAACACTATCTTTTTTTAAAGTGATCTTAAGCCATAAAAAGGAAACTTTCTTTGAATGATTTACTTTTTGCCTAATAACTAACATGAAAGATGAGTGAATTGATACAGATTGTTCAGTCAGTGTGACCAGATGTTTTACACAAATTAACACTTGCTATCTGCATGCACCTGTAAAGCATTTTGTAAGGAGGCTCAGTAACTTACACCCTCTTGGTCAGAGAACCACACCATACCTGACATCTGTCATGGGTAGTAAATGGTGTATTAAAGTGAAATTCAGAATTAAATTAGTCCTTACTTAACCAGAACAGTGCTTCAGGAAGATACCTGCTTCACTCCCACTTTTGATGAAGTTGTAAGAACTGTTCAGCAAAAGCATGTAGCTGAAGGGAGAACAGGACCCAAGAGCTGCCTGCCTTCCATGGCTTTTAGAGGAGTTTGTTACTTGTCTGGTGTCTATTTCCACAAAGCAGTTAATTCTGAGTATTTTTACAACCTTGAATGAATAGTGTTAATTATCCTTGATGATTAAAAAACCACTATGAAGGAATTTTGACTCTTCTCCAGACCTAATTCCCAACCAAGTGATTTTAAAACTAAATGGTCTTCCTGGATATTTCATTTCATATGCTATTTGACCATGGCTGTATCTGTACCTTGATACTGAAGGCATTCATGTTAAGTGAAAGGGCCTTGCCAGTACACAGTTCTAAACGAAAGGGCCTGACCAGTACAGACTTGGGTTTAGGTAAAATGTGATTTTTTTTTTTTTTTTAATTTTTTTAGATCATTATTATCAAAAGCAGAGCTGTGAATTTTAATGATCTCTTCTGTAAAGTAGATAGATATTAGACAGGGAGAAATACAGTTAATAACTTTATTACATTATCCTAAACCAAAAAACACTCAGTATCATCCCTTCAGTGTAAGTGAATACAGCTGGTACATGCTTACCCAGCACAGGCCCAGTAAATTGGGCTGCTTCATTTTGAGGAATAAAGCATGCAACACATACATACAAACACACACCCAAAGCAGGTATAATACCTTTTCAATCAGATCAAATTTAAGACTGATTCTACAAGCTAAATACAATTATTTCATCATAATGAAACAGCTGTCACTTATTGTGATTCAGTTAAAATTAATTTTATTTGTATTATTCTCTCTCTGTATGTGAGCATACTTTGCTATAGCATGTTGTGAGCATACTTAACTCCTGCTGTTTGAAATGTTTGTTTAGAAAGTGCCCTTCCAGAGGACCCTGTTCACTGCTGCACTTTTGGGGAAAGAAAAAATAAACTGCCTATCAAACTGCCTATCTTTCTGTTACTGAACTTCAGTTAAACCTTTCCCCAGGATCAAGCAGTGTCACACTTCTAAAGACTGAATTCCTAATTTCTAAGCTTGTTCTCTACTTACTGCCCTGCTACCGGACACAGCCCACTAGTGAACTTTTGTATGGTCACAGGGGACCTTATGTACAGCATCCAGCAAGACAGCATGTGACTAATTTGCACCTGGAAGAAACACTAAGGCAAGAGAACAAATTTAAATGCAAGCTGTACTTGCTGATATTTCCTTGGAAACTGATATAGTTGAATGATGGAAAACTTTAACAAAAGAGACAAGGGAGAAACTGCTGTTCATCATTAAAAGCAGTATGTTCTGCCTCTGGGAAAGAGGAAGAATAAAATCCTACATAAGGCTTTTTCCAAAATGGGAACTGTGAGCAACAGTACAATATGTGCTTTTTACCTCAATCCCTGTTACAGAGTTGAATTCCTCAGACGATTCTGTGCAACTGTTTAAAAATATATACATAACTATTTTCTGAACTACAGAGCTAGATGAATTGGTACCGTTAACCTATTTTTAAGCCTGAGGCTTTCACAAGCTTCTAAAGCAAGTATTTCTGCATTGTATTTTCATTTCTGCTTAACCATGTGGTATCAGTTTCATTTCTCTTTCAGTGATGTAGCAGTCTTCCATTAAGTAGAGAAAAATATTTAGTGGCTGCTTGAAACAATGTTACTATCTTTCTTTTGATGCTCCAGCTTATGAAAACTGTAATGTTTACTGTAGCACCACAAGAAAAGGCAACTCTGTATTACCTAGATACACCTTCCCATCATGCTCAAAGACATCACTGACAGCCCAAGTGACACTACCATCAGGGTCATGGAAGCTTGCCACAATGTCTCCTTTGTCGTTAATTTCTAAGAACAAGCCATGTTTGTGAAGAAAAATGCTGTAGAATGATAAAGGAGTCACCTGTTTTAGAAAAAGAAATACACAGTATTAACACTTCATTCAAGAGGTAGGAGGGGAAATTCCATGACTAGAAAGAAATGGCTAATATATTGCTTTCCAGATGTTGCTCTAGTCAGATTCAGCTGTCACTTAATCTTTTGGTAATATCTACTAGAGTGTGTCTAAAGCTGCCAGTCCTGTAATCACTCACTGATCTTAAAGTACAGTCAGTGTCTGCTTGCTCAAGACGGTGTGGAAGTTGTTTGTACTTATTCCAGCTGCCAAAAGCCACCCATTTTCTAAAAGTAGGAATTAGAGGAACTTGATGGAACACAACTGAATCACCCACTTCAGTGGATTTCCTGTGCAAGTTCTAGGGAGAAGGCAGCATGGTTCTTAGAAAAAGTAGCATGGTTAATCATAACCAGCTCCATGACTCTTGCTTGGCAAGAATGACTTTGTAGAGTTTGATTCGTATAGCAAAATCCTCATATTTTCTGTCAAAGGTTCTTCATTTGCCTTGACAATACCATGTTGCTACAAAGAATGGGCTAAGAGCTTGCAACTACAGACTACTTACTTATTGTCAATACTGATTTTTCTACTTTATAAATGGGTTCTTGGTATTACGACAACAGTAAAACTGCTATGTTTTAAGATGTAAAAAAGAAAGCAGTCCTCAAATGTTCCAGAAAAATCAAAGTTAGTATGTGTTGGTATGCTGGCTGGTAAAGATGAAGCAGTCTCTTGCGTTTCCTAATGAAGAATAACAAGTTTTTTCATACTTAAAAAATTAACATTTTTGTGACACTGATAGTTAATACTACACAGTGTCAAAGTTACCTTTGCAATAAATCTCTTCAGGAATGGATACGGTCCTAAAGCATCCAGAAAAGGAGAAAAGAAACTAGGAAAGCGAGTAGTAGATATTCCAACTCTGTATAAGCCTGTGTGTGATAATCTGATGTTGTCTGGATACCCAGGCAGGTTGTCCACAAAAACTTCTTTTTTTCCTGCATTAGCTCCGCTCACCCAATAGCTGCAAAAAGGGAATTTTATATGAGTTACAGTGGCTGCTGCAAAATACAGCAAGCTTAACAGCATGGAAGATCCATCATTTTGAGTCATGCAAGGAATTTTTCAAGATACAGAAAAGGACTCTGCGGGAAGCAGTAAATGCAAAGAGGCACTAAACTTGAGTAACAACAATTGGTCAAAAAACCCTCATCTTTCTACATGTAACATAAAGAGTATCTCCCAGGTTCTATTAAAAAAAGCTAGTCATGGAAAATGTGCCTCTTAAATGAACACTAATATTAAGTTTGGCTTTAGAACTTCCATGAAATAGAAAACTGTTAAAACACTGACTCCCTTTAAAATGGGAAAAATGGGGTGTTATGCTAATCATAATCACGCAGTGACACTTGTCCTCTGAGGTCTGCTGTAACTAATAATGGAGTCATCAGGATAATTGTAATTGAGTCTGAGGGAACTGGGGTCTGATATATCAGTAAATCGGTATAAAAAACATTTGGCAGTGGGAAGAGCAACTGTTAATCTCTACCTAGAATTAACTAAAACCTGTGACTCTTGCAACAGAAAAAAGTTATTTAAACTGAGTTTCCAATAGCAACCCTGTTAACTGCACATCTTCAGTGAAGTAAGGAAAAACAGAAAAGGATGAACATGAAAATCATGTCTATGAATCGATCTAAAAACTTGTAACATAAACTAATATATAACATTTTATTGACATTTAACATACCGTATGATTCTACATATGCTGGTTTCTGCTATTAGTATGTAATCTTCGTAGGGAGACAGTGCAATCCCATTTGCCATGTACAAGCCACTGAGCACCGTTCTTGCTGTTCTTGTTACAGGGTCATAGGCCAAGAGGCGACCAAGATGGTTTGTTTCAATTACCTTAATCAATACATCTAATGAAAAACTAGGCTATCAAAATACCTGGTTTCAATTAGAACAGAAAATATTCAGCAGTTGTGTTAACATAAATTAGATAAAAGCAGACTTTACAAAATGGTAGATGGCATCTTTATAAAAACACTAAAGGAGCAAAGGATTCTGTTCATGTCATTTCCCAGGCTGAACACAGCATTCTTGTAAAAACAGGAACATGGGGGACTGTAGTGTATGGTTTATACAGCCCAGAGTTCTAACTATGCTACTCTGCAGTTCCTGCTTTAGCAAAATATTGAGGCCTATCAGGCTTCTATGAACAACTTCAAATCAAACAAGAAAGCATTCATGAGTGTTCTGCTAAAGCAAGTGAACAGCTGACATTTTACTTCTGATATGAAATAGTTTGAATAAGTTTCTTCTGCTACAAATCTGCAGGGCAGCTTTGAATTATATACACATAAGCCCTGTGAAGAGGAAACTGCCTTTATGTTTGTCATTTGTACTGGCAACCCCTTGTCAAGTCTGAAATACTAAACAGCAAAGATGATGTACCACCACACAATAATTCTGACAGCTTTAAGAAACAGCAAGTGGCACATAAGAGAGTTCAACTATTCCGGGTTTTTTTCCCCTTTTAATAACTTGGATCTTGATTCTCACCCCTTAAATATATTGTCCCTTCGTGTGATTTTTCTCCTGGCTTAACTTTATCCACAGTTCTGGTAGTAAAGAGGAGACTCAGTGTAAACTTTATGTCTGTGACCTCACTGAATTTCAGCTTTACAGACAGTTTGTTCTAGATAAAGTTTTCCTCAAAGGCTATGACTACACAGAAGAGATACCTTCAAGTACACCAGCAATTAGCTACCTTGCATTTACTGCAGTACAAGAGCATGCTTGTTAGACAGATACCAGAGAGAAACTAACAAGCTGTAAAAATCCAGACTGTAGTGTATGGCATGACAATTTCTTTGGGTAGTCATACGGAGAGGTTTTTTTCAGGAAAAGCAGCTACAAAATAGCACAGCCCATCCCCTGCCCCAGGGCTCCAGCTCGCTGCATTCATAGCATGCTTGGCTAAAACACACAAGCCCAGTCGAAAAAAGCTTGTCTCTTCTGCATCCTAGTACATGGTGCTGCCAGCACAAAAATTAACACTTAAGCTGCCCGAACAAATGGCTACAATGATTACCTCATCTCACCTCATATTTGTGATGTCGTCTTTCCCACTTGCTACTTGAATCCGTAAAATAAATCAAATTTTTCTTTGATATTTCTAAGCCATTTAGGAATTTGAAAGGCAGCCCATCCACACCTAGTTAATAAAAATGACTACTGATTAAAATAAGTGCAAAACCACCAAGTGTTCAAAATTATTCAGATCCACACAAGCTTAATATTTCAGACATTGCAATTCCAAATGTCATAGTTAATGCTATCCTTAATTTGTCCCAAGCTGAAGTCCAAGTCCCAAATTACTTTCATTTGCAGGGAAACATGTTCAGGTTGCAGCTCAACATAACACATACCAAACCAAAAGCCTCTGACAAATATAATTGCTTTTGTTTTCCTCTTTTTTAAACAAATCTTAAAAATACAAAGCCAATGGGCTTTCAATCAGTCCCAGTTCCCACACCCAGTAGTACTGATGTCAACTGATTAAAGTGCCTCAATCTTCCAATTTATATGTAAGCATGAAGACCAAATCCAGGATCAATCTACTTCCCCGCTAACTGTAGCATCACCTTTTTCACTCGACAGCAGGAGGGTTTTCTCTCCTGTCCTTGGATTGACTTTGTACAGGCCTAAGTATGAATCCACCACAATCACATTACCATCCTGATCCATTCGGACTCCATGGGGCCGGCCACATATTGGTTCATAGTCTGGAGTTCCTGAGATACAAATAGGAGAATGTGTAAGACCAGGAGGTTGACAAAATGAAGATCCTGAAAATGCAAAGGCTGAAAAGCACTAAACTACCATCCTTGAATAAACTACATCCTTAAAAGCTTCCTTAAACTGTCTCTAAAAGTAAGTCGCAATGGAAGTGACCGTATAACACCACTCTAGTCATCTCTGTTCCTTATTACTTAAGAAAAAAATTTGCTGCCAACCTTCAAAGAAATTCAGCTCTACTCTGTTTCCCAGACAACTTTAAAGATGACTGAAAAACTGGTAGGATTACTAAATCAGTGCGGAAAAAAAGGATTAGCTGCTGTTTATTTTATATCCCCAAGAAAAAGATGGGAGAAAGCCGCTTTTAGGAAAGATTTAACTACTTCCCTTCAGCTGAGGGGCCCAAGTGCTGAGGGGTCACATGAGAGTCCTATATAATCCTCAGGTAAAACTACAAAAACCAGATCTACCATGTTTAGTATTTTTATAGTGAGTAATCTTCCTGAAAGCAGTGAAATTAGTAAAGCTTGACACCCTACAGTTTTGTGACCTAATGCCCTCTACTCCAAAGTATGTATTCCCCCCTAGTACTCCAGTAAGCAAGGGACAACATCCATTGCAGCTCACTAGAGCTGTAACAGATCATTAACACAAGCTGACTGCTTGACTGACAGCTGCCAAAAAGTTCACAGCTTAGTTCTGATTTCGCTCTGAATGGATCAATCATTTTTGGTTTCTTAACCTGTCAGTTATTTACATAAGCCTCAAAACAGTTCAGTAATCTTTGAGAATTCTTTCAAATTCAGTCAAGACTAGCCCATAGCACAGGGACTTTGGGGACAGGGAAAGCACCTACATAACTGTCACATGTTTATGAAACGAGGCTAAAGCCAACCAGCTATTTTAATGGCCTTTCAGGCCTGCTTGATTCATCAAAAACAAACAGGATAAAAACATAAACATTTCAGTGTTTGTCTTCCTCGTTTACATGTAAGGAAAGAAAATGCAACCTTGTAGTCCAGTTACTGGTGATGGTACCAGGACATGCTATTCTGAGTCTTCAATTCTTTTGTAAGATTTGAACTGTTTCTAAAATACATTTTGATCTTGAGGCAGGAAAATAATTGGATAAATCCTGTCTTTAGACCACCCTCAAAAAGCTTTGTATAGAAGGACTTCTCTAAAATGTTGTTCATTTAAATAAAAATGGCAATCCATGGCAAGTCAGTCTCAAGGGCTGGAGAAGTGTGCCATTATGCCTTAATCTTGCCTACATTAAGAAAAAACAGGATAGCAGGCTTCTCTTACAAATTTGCATAAAAGAATCAGAAAACATTAACGGTAGCTAAAATAGCACTTCAATTTCTCATTCAGTGACATTTATATGAACAAGTTTGTTGTCATTTTCACATCAAAACTGTCGCTCACCACATTCAGGCATATCCTGCCCCATTTGAGTAATGAAATGCAGCTGGCCACCACTGATCATCCATAGTTTCCCATCCACAGTACCAGTGTAGATATTACCTTAAAATAAGTATATTAGAAGACTGTTTTAAAAGGGACCAAGGCAAATAAAACTTACTAGAAAAGAAGGACAATTCCTCATTATTGTGAGCCCTTCCTTTCTCTTAATTTATATACTCCATGCACACACAAAGCAATGAAACAGACAGTAAAACATACAGCTTAAATATATTTTTATAAAGCAGAAAGAGCAATAATAAGTTGGTGATTAGAAAAAATAGGAATTGTTCATATGTTTATTTTAAATAAACATACAACATTAAAAGCTATCTTACGACTCCTCTGGGATAGCAGCAAAGGCATCAAGGACTGGACTAAAGATTCATAGGGATGTTCTCTTAGTGTCAGTGAAAATCAGGGAAAGCATTAGCAGAGCTCACACGATCTACCTTTTTGTCCTGAGGGTTCTGCCATGTTACCAGCTAGCTAAAATGTTCAGTAGGCAAAAGGAAAACATTACAATGACTGATCCAAAACAAGAAAGTAATCCTTCTCCTAGGACATTAAAATCCTAAGCAAAAAAACCAAGTGTGTTTTGGTTTTTTGACCCTGTTTTGCTTTGGTTTTGAACTACCAGAATAATACCAAAAAATGCGTAAGTTTTCATTAAAGGACTAAGCACTTTTTTATATTGGATACCTGCTTAGCAGTTGCTTTCTCCTCTGCTTTTAAAGGCAAAAACCTCACAGGAAGTCTTCAAATCTTTTGACATTGTATTGTCAAATACAATTGCCAAAACCTTCTGTGTAGAGTATCAAAGGGAAAACACTAGCAGTGATTAAGCCCCACCTTTGAAAAATAGTGTCCTCCTACCTTCTGACTAGTCCAGGCTCTGAAATAGTACAATGCACATGACCAGTCCTAGGCTTACTGTTCAAAAAAAATACACTTTTAGTGTAAATTCTGTTAACTGTCTGGAAACATTCCTCTGATATGTCTTTTATTTACATAGATTGAACTAAAGTAGACGTTATTTTCTTTAGGTGTGACCTGCATTTTCACCCTGGCCTTGTTTGCATTTAAAGATGTGCACTGTCATTTGGCAACAGGTGTTAAAAGACACTGCATAGAAGTTATGCTGTCTTTCCATGCCAATATTACTAAAAAACCATGGATTCTGACTTTGTCTAAAGAGCATTTACACCAGAGCAGATAAACAGGTATAAAAATGTCTAGCATCTGCTCACACATCTATGGAAAAATGTTATGAGCAAAGAGGACAGATTCTCACAGTATCAGCTGTCAGATCTAGATTAAAAGAATTGTCTAGGATTACTGGCATACAGAAAGCACCTGTTTATCCAAAGGGAGAACTTCAGAGCCACTGTTCAATACGACAACTTTGCCTGGGAAAAAACAGAGGCTGAACTTTGCTGTCATAAAATATACTGGCATTCCAATGTCTCCCGAGGCATGTTGGAAACAGCTGAAATTTCTGATCACATACCAGATTCTGTATTTAAAGAATTGTAATGCTATTTTCTATCATGCTATGCACTAGACTATGATGCTATATTTAGATTTATATAGCTAGTGCAAGTGGGTTTTGCACCAGACTTCTCTCATGGGTATTTGTAGTAAAGTGAAGGCAAAACAGAACTATTCTAACTACCCATAATATCCTGTCTTATTCATATGGAAAACAGCATTTACCTAAATCAGACAACATCACCACAACACTTAAAACAATCTTGGGTCATATTGTATGATTTCAACTGACTGAATCTAGTCTCCTAAAACATCCTTAAATGCAAGGAAGATACACGGTAGCATTAACACGCTCAAGAAAAATTGGACCAAAACAGTATTTTATACAGCATCATGAAAGAGATTAGATTTGGCAACACAGAGCATTTGCAGGATTAGTCCTCATATTTAAAATACGCTCTGCAAAATTCCAGTTGTGAACACTACCCTTTCTGAAAGTTGTAGAGGAAGAAGTGGAGAACAAAAAGTGTGATAAAAAGACAATTTAAAATAGCACCTTTGAGGAAAGCAGGAACGAAACAGCTTTGAGAAGACATTTGCTTGGAATGGGTGCCTCAATGCAAGGTGTTGAGCTAGGTCCCTTCCAGGCCTATGCTACTATGACTGAAAACACTTCCAATTTCAGCTTGCACAATGGCAAACAAGAACATTCCAGATGATGACCTCTCACCTCTGTAGCACACAACACAAGACAGTATCTTTCAGACAAACATGTCTGGGGCTATTCAATATTTCCTTGAAAAATACCATAAAACTAGCACCAGCAATAAGTGAGGGTGTCTGAACTGCCTGGCTCGAACCACTCTGGGCTGGGAGTTGCCTGCTTCTCCCTACTGGCTACTGCAGGAATCTATTTTACCCACTTACACATCAAGAAGAAAACAATTCCTCCAGAACAGGTAAGTCCCAAGTCCACAGCAGTAAACCTGTGTCCTAAACAGAAGATCACAGTGTGTCTCCTCTATTTGGCTTGAACTTTCATTGCAATCCCTACTTTGGTCACACTCTGGGTAAGAGAGTTGTTGGAAAGATGCAAAACATGCTACACCGCTTCAGCCCTCTGCTTCCCACCATCTGTAAGGTTCCTACACCTACCATTTTGCAATCTCACAGCTGCCAGACTACGAAGATGAATTATGTGGATAAGTAAGAGGAGTTTTTTTGTGACAGTGAAAAGTTCTTTCATATTCCAAGCTGCTCTAAAAATATGTTTTTGAGAACTATGCAAATTTTAAAACATTCCATTTGCCTTCCCTCTCTGGCTCCGTGTTCAATAAGAGCTTTTGAAATAAGAGCGTGCTGAACTCAGCGACTGAGCTCAAGCAGCAAATTAACACTGCTTTTGGAGACCTGAAACAGAAAAAGAACAAAAACCAACGCAAGCTTACCACTAGTTCTGTGTCAAAAGCCCAAGCTTAGACTCACATTTAGAAGAATTCCCACAAAAAATCTTTAACTGTTTTTGCATGTTACTTTTAGAGAACATGCCATTTTATACCTTTTTAAAATTATATTTTAATAAGACTTCTATATGTCGCCAATTTGTGGGTGTATGTTTTTTAATATAGCAGTAGGACGTTCACTGTGTCCTTGGGAGCAGCAGATAACAAAATGTTCTGGAATATTTCCAGGGAAATGTTTACAAATGTGAAGATAAGGAAGAACATACAATTATCTTAATATTTTTGGAGCAATCATTTAGCAAACATTCCTATTTTACTTTCTTCAGATTTAATTCTTAATTCTTGGATTTAACTTCCTAAGTCTTCTATTTTAATAACTTGACCAAGCAGACGTATCAGATGTATAATATGTAGCAGAGGTATATAACTTTACCCATATGGAAGTTATCTACTTGCCTTCATCATCAACAGTAAAAGACTCAGGACCTTTCAGTTGGCCCGTGAAGATTCTTTGTCCACTCTGAAGCTTTTTATTCACTTGCAGTGATCCAACTAAGGCAGGAGGTGGCTTTTCAAAACTGCACCAAATGAATAATAAATGTGAGAGACAAGACAACGTTGGACTATAAAATTATTTGGAGAGAAAATAATAGGACTTTATTCCAGAGATACTAGTAACAAGGAATTCTCTTTTTTTAAAGAATTTGTTAAAACTATTAGTGTTTGTTAAAACTATTACTTCAAACTAAATTAACAATTCTGTGGAGCTTGCAGGCCCAGGTTAAAAAGAATACAGACTTTAGGTTTGTGTTTTTTTCTGAAATCAATACCAACACAAAATTGCCATCATCCTAGAGAGTTTTATTCCCTATCATTAGTCTGACATCTACTACCGATCTCTCTACGTGTATGTATGAATACTGCACTGGTCAGCACTGTTATGCCTGAAATTCACTTGTTTAAAAAAGTGTTTCTATTTTCCAGTTTTATATGAGAAACACAACTTCTCCTGCATATGAAATTAAGTAGCATGCTTTATATGCTCCTGTAGGATGAAAAGTATAAAAGAAGTTTTGAAAGCACAGGTATTTCCCGACAAGCACAAGTATGCTATTAAACTTTAAAATGTAGCAGGGAAACATACATGAACGGTTCTGGATCAATGGGAGATGGTAAAAAGTAAATGCTAGCAAAAATCGCAAGGACTGCAGCTGGAAACCCCCACACTGGGAACCTGGGAGGAAAAGAAAACAATTGTATATCATGCACATACAGGAGGAGGGCAGGAAGGGAAAAAGAAGAGTAATTTTTATTTTTTTTTCCCAAAAGTTAAAAAATCTCAGTACTAAAAGTTCAGACTAAAGGAAGACAAAGCAGACTGCAACAACCTGGCAATCCCTGCCATGGAGAGGAGTGGCCCTGCTGCTCCACAGGCAGTACTGCTGTCTTGCTCCGTCTCCACGCTGAAACTCTTCAGTCTCCGGACAGGTGATCCAGTCAAAAGCCACAAGGTTTCTTTTGCCAAGTTGCGTTTCTAGTAGTACATAACTGCTGTAGGCAGAGACCCAAGCCCAGTTACTTGTGTGGTGAGCAACTTTGATGACTCCAGTATCTTTAAGGCCTTTTACCAAACTTACCCCAGCCGAGTATCGGAGTATTTGCTATTAATGGGTTTTACCAAGTGCATACATAGTCATAATATGGTTGTTGCACACATGAAGCTATGAGGTCTCACATGAATCCACTTTCAAGGAACTGGTCAAACCATTATCTCCTCCATTGCAGGGCTGCAATGCCCACAGAAGAGCAACAGAGAGACCAAAGCGACGACCAAAGTAACAATTGAACTAGAGAGGATTAAACCGTTTTTAAGAAACACAAAATAAGTAACCAGAAAATTAAATGTACTTGTTGCCAGAGAAAACCACTAAAATGCCTTTAAAGATAAAAAGGGGCAAAAGGCACTTGCTGAGAAGGGAGGACCTGCGGATCACCTCCAGCCCAGGACACTTCCTCGCTGTATTCACCTCGTGTTTCTGCAGGCGTTTTTTTTGTAGGAAGAAACCACTCGACCGTGGGCTTTCCCACCCAACTACGGCGGCACAGCACCCACTGCGAGCCCGCGGCTGCGCTCCCTCTGCGGCGGAATCGGGTCCCTGAGGGCACAAGAAAGCCCCGCTCCGGCCCTGCCCGCCGTCTTCCCGAGGCAGAACATGGCGGGCCCGCTGCCCTCAGCTCTCTCCGCATCCCCCACCGCTGCCCTCCCAGGGGAGACCTCTCCTCACGCACCGCCGCCGGCCCTCCCACCGAGCCCACCGCTTACATGGCGTCGCGGCGGGCGGCCTCCGCCTCGGAGGACGGCCCGGCGGTGGGCGGGCGTCCGCCCGCCCACCGCCGGGCCGTCCTCCGAGGCGGGAGGCCGCCCGCTCTCCTCAGAGAAGAGGCGGCCCCGGCGGCGGGAATTGCCTCAGCGCCGCCCGGGCGGGAAACGGGAGCGGCTCCTCCTCCGGCGGAGGGGCGGAGTGTGAGGTAAATGTGGGAAAGAGAAGGGAAACTTCGAGGTATGTGCGTCAATTTCAAAAGGTTGGATTTTTTTTTTTCCTTCTTGTATTTGAGAAAAACCGATTGGTTTAGTTTTCCTGTATTACTCTTCACGAAAATCAGGAGACAAAACATACAAGTATGACTGGAACACATACGCTGAAATGTATCTGTTGTTCTAGGCAAACCTTAGCTTACACTTACAGCAAGCTGCACCTCCCCGCATTCATTGCTACGAGGAAGTCTCGTTCGGCATCAAAGTGATCAAAACACGAGCTTCAGGTAACAGAAAAAAATAAACACACATCACATAACTAAGTATTGCCAACTTCAACTTTAATAATGGAACCATCACTTTTTGCCATTTCAGTAATAACTTTAAGGGGAATAAAAACTTCCCTACAAAAATAAAACTAAGCTTGTCAAAATTATAAATAGTTTAAATGTTTGTTTTTAAAGACATACATTTGAATGTTTCCCTGCATCCCCCTTCCCCCCCTCCCATATCATTTAATCATTCTGGTACCATCATATAATGAAATGAAAAGAGTTTTGCAACAAAAGTTCTGACAGTTCAATTTGATGCAAAAATTAAAAAAAAGAGAAAAAGCTGACAGCATGGCCATTTCCTTTAAATTAAAGCTGTTGTAATCGCCAGTGTGTAAAAAAAAAGAAAGAAAAAATAACCCCACACATGACATCTTACAATAATTAACCATGGACTAAGACAAAATTAAAATATAAGTTTATTTTGGTCCCCCACCCCCACCCCCTTCACCCCAAATCAAGACTCATAGTGCATACAACACTGATTGAGGTTTTTGGCTAAAGTAAATGCAGATGCGCCTACTTAAAAGACTGGTAGTTTAGTTCAAGTAAAAACAAAGTTCACATATTTTTATACTCCACTTTTAAACTCAAACAGTGTTTAAATCTGAGCAACAAATGGTTCAATATTGACAGCGATTATGTAATGATTACATAGTTATGGGCAGATACGTAAATTAAGTAGATGTTAACAGAATACCCACCGACATGCTGCTGCATTCATAGAAAAACAAATTGTAACAAAACATAAAAGCATTCCCTGAACCATTATAAAGTGTCTCACTTGAGGATAATGTTACTAACTCACACATGCACTACAATGTTACATGTGAAATTAAAAAACAAACAAGATATGCCTTATATATACTTTATAGTTAGTCCTACCCTTAATTTCTCTTAACACTTTAAAACATTATGATTGTCTCATTAAGCTTGCAAATTCTTTTTACCAAAGAAAACCTGTGAAGAGGTTAAAAAAAAAGTCTTACTAAGGAAAGGAAACAAAGGCACAATTACATCAAATTAAGGGGAAGAACAGAAGCATCTTGGAGTTTCACACAGTATCCATTAGATGTCACCAAAGTTTTAACAATTCCTTGGGAATTTAAAACAAACACCCTAAGAGTGGAGGAAAAAAACAAAACCAACTTCTGCTGCTCTTAAATTGTTAGCACTCCTCCACCTCCCCACCCCCCCACCCCCAATATATAACTCATTTCCTCTCTGGCATGATGATGACTAAAGTATCAGTTACTCAAATCTGCCTCATGCTTGTATTGCACACCCACTTCTTTGGTTTCCTTTGAACGTGCTTTTTTTTAGATAAATAACTCTGAAAGAACAACAATTATATTTACAGTAAAGTAAAAAGTTTTCTTGCTACATTTTTCCTACTTTTAAATCAAGTAAATCAGCAGTCTGCAGAATTTGGTAATCAGTTTTTCAATTAAGAATTTAAAAACCATAAGGAAAAAAACTCTCTGAATTACTAAAAGCAAGAGTTACTAAGCTCAGTCACCAACACAGCCAAGAAATGTTAATTTTCTGCTAAGCTGGAAACATGAATAAGAAATTCTGCTTTCTTTGCCTGACTGAGCCTTTAACAAACAAAGAAGCAGAGGAAGCTGTTTTCGTCTTTCAGATATAATTCAAAATTATCCAGCCTAAAAACCAATTGCTGAGCCAGAGGAAAGATCTGACTTACAATGAAGACCAAATGCATCTGTAGTTACAGCTTATGTCTAAACACTTGCTCGATGGGTATTTCTCACAGAGTTATCTGAGACATTGACCACTCTTCAGAATTCAAGTAAGCAGCTTTTTAGCTTTGCTGCACTTTTTGCTATGCATTTATGGAACCAGCTTCTCCAGTAATGGCTTATATGTGCAGCTCCATTTCCATTCTTATTTAGCTTTTGCCTCTCATTCCTTCCCATTATTTCTATTATCTTTACTTCTCTTCCAGTGTGGATTTATGCAGTTAAAAAAAAAACATAAAACTTAATCACAATATTATAACATCCTAAAACTTTAATCTTGTAGAATTAGTATTTTAACTTTCCTCTGTATAAATACTATTTCCATTTAAAACCAGTCCTCCTCTGTCAGCTGTTAAGAGTTCTCCTCCCTCAACTCTTACCTTCTTTTCAACTTTCTCTTTACCTTCTCCAGAAAGACCACTTTAAAGCCTTCCACAAATTTCACAGAACAAACCACAAGATCTCATATGCTTCCCATCTATAACAGTTCTCTCACAAATTATACAGTAACTATTTGAAAACAGAAAGGTAGTGCAAATCAATTTCATCTCAAAGATAGTGCTCCAACTAATTCTTGTCCAGATCTTTTTTTTTTTAACCCATCAATTTGCACACCCTTACTTGTAAAGCTACCATTAAAGCAAAGAAAAAAATAAAATCTTATTTCATAGCATCCTAGAAAATTGATTACAGTTTCACAGCTTGCACCAAGATAACTTGGAAAACTCTCTAGGCACAGAGAGGGTTGCAAACTGATGTACAAACATGCAGAATCCCTTACTTGTGGGTGAAAGATGCTAAGTGACCTGGCTTATGGAACTAAGTCTATAGCAAAATTCAGGTACCCTGGCATCACAAAACAGTCTTCCGAATAAAGAAAACTACTCTCTGCTGCTCTTTGTACATTGGGTTTGGCATGCTATACTGACATTTGGTAGCGTGCATTTTTCCTGAGTGTCCTTTGGCCCCCTTTTAACCAGGTTTCCACACCCCACCAAGGGCTTCTTCAAGTTTGTCTCTGTAGGCTGCGTAACGCTTCCTTAAGATTTGCAGTTGCTCATTTTCCTCTTTGTCCAGTATACGCAAGAAGTTTTGCAGTTCAGGAATACTAAAAGCTTCCCACTGGAAAGAGAAAAAGAGAAAAGGGCGGATGAGATGAACAGAAAATACACAAGTAGTTTATATGTACTGTATTTTTAAACAAAACCTCAGACACAAAACAATTTCAAACTGAAACAGTATTGGGCACCCTCCTTGCAAATCTTAAGGGATCTGAAAACATTTTACTCTTTTAAACTGTTTTTTGTTCTGCAAGTAACAATGGATCAGTCTAACCACAGATGAAATGTTTACAAAAGGCACAAAATAAATAGAACAAGGAAAAAAAAAACCTGCTTCCAAAAAATGGATCATCTTGCCAGCACAGATCAAACAGAAGCCCACTCATCCATGAAGTTAAACACACACACAAAACCCGCATGGGCATTACGTACCATGACTTCTCCAGTTTCATGCTCACGTAGAACAAAACTGAGCATTTCTGTTCTGGGGCCTGCCACCAAACGCAGGTAGAGGGGATGTTCCCGGTCTGACAGCTTGCATGTATAAACTGCATGAGAAGAAATCACGATATTATCACCTTTACTAATGATGCTTCAAGTGCTTTGAATGATTAATGCTAGCTAATGTTAGAAATTTCAGATATGCATGTGTAGCCACAAAATTTACACATTCTACATACTGTCTACATATTAGTCTACATACTGGTTTTGAGGAAATGAGTTTTAGGTAGAAGCTGAGCAGATGACTGATGGTAACAGTGCAACACTACATTCACGCAGGAAAGAAATGGCCTCTAGTCAACACAGTATACCATCTGCATACATGCAGGGGAAAAAGCACAAGAAAAAAATACAACACAGCTCTGTTGCTATAACTAAGCACTTAAGACAACATAGCTGTGGTATTACCATTCTGATACCTTTTCTATTTAAAACCTCATACACAAGTCTAAGAGACAACTCTGCCTGCCTGACACAGTTGGTGTGGCTGACAGCCA